ACTACAACATTGTACAATAAACAAAGGCCTTTTGCTTAACCTAACTACACTACTGTTTGTACAGGGAAATGGGAGCTATATTTATTTACTTGCACAGCCACTGGATAACACTGCCTGAACTAACTGCCTTTAGTCCCATAAAAGTCTAAACAAGGGCACTGATTGGTTAAATTGGGAGAAAGAAGAAAAACAAGATGGTACGAAATTAGTAACATGTTGTGCAACCACAGTGCTTCATTCCTGAAAAAACCTGAGGAAGTGCTGAATCCACAATTAAAATCCTACAAACAAAGCTCGATTTCGGACTCAAAGAACGAGAAAATAGTTCCAGGCTTCCAAGAGTCCAGAACTGTTCTAGATTCTAGTTCTATTTAGCACATCCCTATATACGAAAAGAATGGGAGAAAATACTGGGTGCCACGATGAAATCTTTAGTCATCATGGTGACCTGGTGCCTGGGATTTTGTCAAGTCCTGACCTAGGATAAGTATATTAAGAAAAGGAGAAAAAGATTTACTTCAGTATTAATGAATAAAATTAATATGATGTACAATGATAACCAATTTTCTAGATGTTTGACTTAAATTTTGACTAAGTTATTAACACATTATGTTGTAGTAACCATTTCGCTACAGGCACCCTTTACTGCTCTTGTTATGAGGTTTTTAGTGACTTACATTAAAAATTTAATGAAACTACTTTTTGTTTATGTTATACCAATTAGTATAGCATAAAATCATAGCTAATAATCCATATTTTAATAGTATATAAGTTTTACGTTCTTAATTTTATGAAGCAATACAAAAAAAAAATCCCGTATTTCCCCTACTGTGAGAAATGTGACATTTTTTCTCTAGGCATGCCCTCTTCTGTAATTTATTCACCACCTATTCAATAAGTATAAAATTTAACGTAAATTACTCACTATCAAGTCGTTATCGCCTTCAATCTCGTTTCGTTACAGAGCCATCAAATAGAAAATCAGACCCCTATTGCCACATCCTCTCTTTCAGGACCTGTTAACAGTGCTCTCTTACATTTAATATTATATTTTTTATAACCAATAGAAAGCCAAGGTTTTCATCTATCAAATGGCATATTATATTACATTGTTTTCTGAACAGAGAATTGTCAATTTCTCTTTTAATACAAACTTCGTTCCCACGGGAATAATATCAACTGCCGTGGATGAAATTATAATGGCTCTTGTCATATAGTTAGAAAGCCAGAAAAATTGTGATAGTTATAGGACA